GTTAACCGCAAAAGGTACACACATGTCAGAAACGCACTCCGCAAGCCAAATAAGATCAAACGCCGATGTTGCGTGGCCAATTCGTACAGTTCCCCCCCCCTCTCACCTGTCATAAAACACCCATAAACCCAACTGGATAACTATGATACAAAACCCAACCCAAAGGATGATTATGATACAAAACCCAACCCAAAGGATAACTATGATACAAAGTCCGTCCAGCCGGAAAAGTTGATGTTTAGGCACACACACTGAGCTCAGCCAAGGTTGCTCAGACATGGCCTAGAAACGCGCAGGAATGTAAACGGACTGCAAGAGGAGCGTGGATCATTCAGACAGGTTTCGCTTCCCCGGGAAAGGGTCTGTGAGGGTCTGACCTCATTAGTCAGTACCCCGCGCAGCAAGGCATCTTACCGGACACCTAATTTGCCTAGACGCGCCGGCACAAAAAAGCCACGAACACTTGCCGGGGGCACTCTGGCTCACACTGGAAGTACGCCGTCCCCCTGAACGAGCCATCGTTTTTGCCTGCCTGGTCCAGGAACGCAGCCCCGAAACTATGCCAGAAGAGCGAACGCACGTCATGGCACGCAGTGGAGATAGGGCTCCTGAGTCAACACCTTTCCTTCAAAGTCCTTCTTGAGTCTTGTTATTTTATATAAAAGTTATACAGATATTCTTAACAATCATCAGACAGTTTTCTACTTAAGGATCCTGCGGCTCCCGAGGATCCGTCGCTGATTGTTAGCCACGCGCGGTATGCAGGTTGCAGAACGTGCTGCAGAAGGACGTCGAGCTATGGAAATTTGGGTTCCCAAACTTGAGGCCGCCTTCTCATCCAACTCCAGCCCGAGCCAATCCTTGGGATCTCATGCGCAGGATCTGAGGAGACTCCTAGTTCGAGGCCTGGGTGGATGTGGTGTAGGGTTTAGGGTTGAGGGTTTAGGGTTTAGGGTTTAGGGTTTAGGGTTTAGGGTTTAAGGTTTAAGGTTTAGGGTTTAGGGTTTAGGATGGTTTAGGGTTTCGGGTTCAGGGTTTAGGGTTTAGGGTTTAGGGTTTAGGGTTTAGTTTAGGGATTAAGGCCTTCGGTGTGCTCACCCCTGCCTGGCGCCTTTCACTCCAAAGCTGCGGCCGGACGAGACATCTGGCGACAGTGATGTCACAACCATGCGCCTTACCATGTCAGTGCCATAAACCCTAAACCCTAAACCCTAAACCCTAAACCCTAAACCCTAAACCCTAAACCCTAAACCTCAACCGTGTCTTTCCCCTACCCGCCTAGCTCAGCAGGAACTGCAGAAACCTATCAGTAGGCATCATCGTCATCATCGTCATCATCATCATCATCATCATGATCATCCTGATCCTCATCGTATCATCATCGATTGCAAGCAGCCGTACTACCAGCATCAGCAAAAGCAGCGGCCGCGCCTCCTCACCACCTCCTCCCCCTCCAGCGTCATCAACATCCTGAACCCTGAACCCTGAACCCTGAACCTTAAACCCTAAGCCCTGAACCTTAAACCCTAAAACCCTAAACCCTAAACTCCAAACCCCAAGAACAACAGCAAGCGCCCTAAAAAAGAGACGATGCCGGAGCTCTCCGCGCGTGAAGGTCGTTCCGACGAAGCGGACGGTGCCGTGCAGCAGCCTCCCCTGCAAAACTCGGAAGATGGCCATGGGATCTAGCATGTTATACAATGCTAAACATAAGAAGTGTGTCTTTAGACAAAGAATCAAGAAGTGTGTAAAGATATGTATATATATATAAGTAAGCAGGTTCTAAAATACTAAACATAAGAAGTGTGTCTTTAGAGATATACAGATATATGGCAAAGATTAATAACAGCAACAATTAATCAGAGATCTTGGGGTGCTTTACCGACTCTACCTGGAAAGTCGGCTCTGATCAAGAAGAAGCTCCCAGATTTCGTGCGCCCGAAGATCAGGAACCCTGCTTCGTACCAAGGCGGCCGTATATAGAAGACTTTATTTGATGTAAACATACCTACATACATACATACATACATACATACATACATACATACATACATACATACATAGTTACATACATACATATATGCATACATGCATACATGCGTACATTTTATAATGAACAATCTCATGTACATGTGTATATATATATATAACTATAGAAGTAGTACCATTAGAACTCATTGAGAAGTATTCTTCGCATTTCTTACCCCCCCCCCCCCCCCCCCGCCCGGCACCCTCAAAGAATGAAGCTGGGGCTTGATAAGACCACGCCAAAGACTCTTCACGCTATTGAAGCCATCATTTCCTCTCTACAAGAACTTTTGCCTATTCAGAATGGGAATGGGCTTCGGGTTCATCCTGCTTCGACAGCTCGTGGATGTGTCAACTTAGGAGGGGAACAGGGCGGCTGAGGAGCCAACGTCAGAAAATTTCAAGGCTGCGCGGCTTCAGGTGAACCAGCATGCTGGGGCACAGGAAAAGCGAGCTTAGGGAATAGGGTTTAGGGTTTAGGGTTTAGGGTTTAGGGTTTACCACGTTCCCCGCTGCCTGCCTGGTCGTTCTGGTAGACGACACGATCGCCCACCGCAAACGCCGCCATGGAGCTCGCACAACGAAAACGAGAAAAGTGCTCGCAAGTAGTTTAGGGTTTGGGGTTTAGGGTTTGGGGTTTAGGGTTTAGGGTTTGGGGCTTAGGGTTTGGGGTTTTGGGTTTAAGGTTTAGGGTTCGTCCAAATCTGGCAGGGCTTGTGGGCGCGCAGGCATAGCATCTCTTCATGTAGATCTGAAGCAATGAGATTTGCGTGCAGTCCTTGCGCCATGAACTGATGAGCACGCAGGTTTCTGCAGGCAAAGAGTTTCACAACGCAGTGCCGTCTGGGAGCCGTACGTTCGAAGCAACCAGCGAATCAGAGCAAGTGTGCCCACAGAATGTAAGACCAGTGCCCAAGGGTACAAGACACTTGGACCACAGCACTGTTCCCAAAATCCACAGCGGCCAGCTATAACCAACAGTAGTCCTCTAAACCCTAAGCCCTAAACCCGAAACCCTAAACCCTAAACCCTAAACCCTAAACCCTAAACCCTAAACCCTATGCCAGGGGCTCCGATGGCTGCAATGAAGGGCTCCGGATGACATGTGCTTTGCAGATGCAGCCAACAACCACAAGAGTAGCCAGTGATGGTTTAGGGTGTTAGGGTGGTAGGGTTTAGGGGTTAGGGTTTAGGGTTTGGGGTTTAGGGTTTAGGGTTTAGGGCTTAGGGTTTAGGGTTTAGGGTTTAGGGTTTAGGGTTTAGGGTTTAGGGTTTAGGGTTTAGGGTTTAGGGTTAAGTAGCCAATAATGGCAAAACTTCCACTAACTGCAGACAGAGTTCATGGACAAGAAGCTGCAGCAAACAACCGTCATGGTGACAAGGACAAGCTGGCATGTTTTCAAATATCGCGCTGTGGGCCTGGTTGGCTGACTACGTTGCGTCGCCAATTCTGATACGGCGCCGAGAACCTTTGTCGCAACCATCCCCCACACCGAGGATCGGTCCTGTCCCTGCCTGATCTTTTTCAGTCCTAAACCCTAAACCCTGTGCTTGCGGCTCCGGGCACAAGGGTGCGTTTAAAACCTAGAACGCCAGCAGGGCGCAGATCGAGGGGGGGAAGTGACGGCAATTGTACAAGTCCTCAGGATCACCGAGCATGCTCAAGCATGCTGAAGTACGCCAAGGTAGAAGTACTGGCCTGTATTCGTTGAACGCATGTGCTTCAGTCGTCTACACCCCAACATCGTGCTACTAGCTAGCAAACCCTAAACCCAAAGAAAATCATCAATCACACATGGCAGGATGCTCTCCACACACAGGGTCGGAATGCACACGTGAGGTTGTAATATCCGTTAGTGCTTCTACGAATCACCTTTGATGATAGACATGACTATGGTGGCAGCGGAGACCAACAGAAAGAGCGAACTAGCACGCTGTCCGAAGACCAAAGACTCTATGGACTATGGCCTTTGTGGCATGCTTGACATTGAGGCCCATTGGCTCATCGAGGCCAGTACATCCAGCAGAGTCAGGAACAAGCATGTTGAACGAATTCCTGAATGCTTCGAAACAATCCAGCCGCAAGCCTATCCCACTGGAGAAAATCCTCCAACAGCGAGAAGCTGGTTTGCATCGGAGTTCAGCAACCACCACACGGCATACTAACATACTGCTTGAACGTGGGATGCAGCCTGCGACACTCTGTTGCGTCGCCTGATCATCTGCCAACATCATGTCTGAATTGTTCCACGGTTTAGGGTTTGGGGTTTAGGCGCACCCTTCTAACACTTGATACCAGATTTCTGCACACATGAGCGTTGACAGGAACGCAGGGAACTTGAATCGAAATGCGTGGGTCCGAGCCCTGAGGCGGCTGATAGCCTGACCACTCAGTCGAACCTTATAGATCCAACACGTCACGGCCCAAAAGTGTCGGCAAGCATGGAGCTGATACGAGCCCCAGATCACAGGACTAGGTTCCTGAGCATCCCCACACAAAGCCCTGGGCGAGCCCCAGGCAAAGCCCCCGGGCAGAGTGGGGGACACCTGAAACATGTTGGACTTCCACCACTCCGTGCCTACTCGCCTAGGGCCGGCTCCGTGCCTAGGAGAAACGTCCTGCTGGTGGGATGGCGACCGGGGCGTAGACGTCCAAGTGTGGCACGAACTGGCTCAAGTCAGCGTCGGGCTTCTTCCTCTCCTCCTCGATTGAACCTGTGTCCATCGCAAAGATTTTGCGAAATGCCGCCTGGTTCCAACCTTCCTGGTTGGGGAGGAGGATTCTTGGCTGCACCTTCAGCGTCTGTGTCGCAGACTCCGTCTTCTGGCCCTGCCCCCCGTCTTGTAGGAACTCTGGGCCCAAGTAGGGCGTAAGCTGGTACTTCAGCGACATTCCGGCGGAAGTGATCAGCTGCAGCTGCACGCCTCCGGGCAACAGGCCTTTCTTCTTCATGTTGTCGTAGAGAGTGGCCTTAAGATGATCCAAACACACCTCCAGGCTTGGTGAGAACACCACCAACCGTAAAGATGTTGTCTTCAATCACCTGGGGGGGGAGGTACCTTATAGGGGTCCTCATATATAAGGGGATCCTACTCTTTGGGGGGTCTATGATAGGCGTCCCGTATTTTCGTAAACCCCCACCTGGAAGCCCAAGTCACGCAGGTACTTTTGGGCATACTCCGGGATCACGGCATTGGCTTCTGCCTTCGGTTTCTCCGTGCACTGTTGAGATGGCGCACAGGCCGACAAGAAGTCGATGCTGCTGATGAACTGCTTTGTGACGAGGAAACGCTCGGAGCTGCCTCCAAGCAGCACTGGCGCGGCATTGTAGTACAGGGACTTCGTTGGGTCATCTGGCTTCGGCTCATCAGCAATGACCGTGCCGAACACGAACAACCAACCCTTCCATTTCTCGTCCGCCACGAAATCCTCAGCAAGAACAGCAAGAGAAAGAGAGGGACGAACACCCACACACATATACACACGCAAAACACAAAAGAGCTGAGAGCAAAAGCACATTGTCATGTGAATGGCAAAACCATGTGTGAATGTATGGGCATGCAGGCGAAACGTATGCTGGACACATGATGTAACCGAAAGTCTTTCATCAGCGTCAGAAGCGTATGGATGGTCCCTTGACATTTGGGACCATCCCCGTCGCAGCCGTAAACTGAATTGGCGTCATACGCTCCCCGCTCCCCTCTGAAGAAAAATTCGGGCGCCATGAAGACTTTCAACGTGGAATCCGCAGGGTCGTAGTCAGCCTTTTTGCGTGCGGTCTCGCAAACAAACTTCATGAGATTGAAGCGCAGCTTCACGTCTTGCTCCGGATCATCTAAACCAGCCTGGGCCATTGATGGGTACTCAATGGGTTTTTCGTAATGAAGTACCATGGACAGGAAACATGTCAATGACATATCAATGCCGGGGTTTACGAAAATAAGGGACCCCCAATATAGACCCCAAATCGTCGTAGGATCCCCTTACAAAAGAGACCCCGACTAAGGGTACCCCTAAAATCATAAACCCCCATATGGTGACTTCTCTACAGTAGGGTCCCTTTTGGGGATACGATCATGAGGCGGCCCCTTACCCCCAGAACTGACCATCATGGGGGTTTACGAAAATAGGGGACCCCGAAAACGACCCCCCCCTTAGTAGGATTCCCTTTTCATTTAAAAAAAGGGCCCCCTTTAGTAGGATTCCCTTTTAACAAGGACCCCAATAAGGAACCCCTAAGTTCGGAAACCAGCAAAATGGCACAATCAGGAAGGGCAGCGTAGTACTGCACGCTCTCGTACGTCACGTTGACGTGGATGCCCAGCTCTGCAAGCATAGGGATGAATGGCTTCGCCTTTCTCAGGCGCTCTCTTGAAGATGTTACCCTAAATCCTAAGCCCCAAAACCCTGAACCCCAAACCCTAAACCCGAAACCCTGAACCCCTAAACCCCCTTAACTGTCCCTCCATAAGAACCTGATCTATGAGATGTGGGGGTTTCCGATCAGAAGATGGATTCGAGTACTATGTATGAGGGGTACCCACCCCCCCCCCCTTTTTGGGAAATGCCCAACATCTCCTGGCCCCGCGGCCCCGCGGCCCCGCCTCGTTCCAAGCTTCCATGGCTGCATCTTTATCCAAGCCAGTGTTGACGGGGAACGTGTAAATGCTGAAGCCGATGAGTTGGGCTTTGTCAAACTTCGGGGCATCCTTCGCAACGTCCTTTGCATTCCTCTGAAGGAAAGCTGAATCCTCGCATGCACCTTGGGTGGCGCACTCGGATTCGGCCAGCACAACCCCGACAAGGAAAGGGACGAGCACGCTGAATGCCATGGCCGCTTATCCAACTACAGAAGTGGAGCAGCGAGGGGCGAGGAGCTCACGCATTCAGCCAAGGTACTGGGCGCAGCATGGTGCGATTCAAGAGAAGACATGACAAAGCACGACATACGCATGCACACACACACACACACACATCGACTCATACACAGGAACCCTGTGAACCCACCCCAGACCATCCTGGTCACCCTTTTTGATCTCTTCCGGCTGCCTTAACTCAAAGGCATCTTCTGAGAGTCGCAGGTGGAGAAGAAGGGCCCATATTCAGGCCACCCCGTCAGGCGCACAGGAGCACGCGTTGGGAACTACACTCCGCTCAGAGCTGTTGTAAATATGCTGTGTTTGCTAAACAGGTGCAGCTGTACAGAAGAGCACCCGTCAAGAGGCTGATCAGATTCGGTACTTCGTTCGCAGCATTTATAGCACAATTTAATGACACATCGCATGGACCCAGCCATCAGTCTGCCTCGGCAGTTCTACGTCAAGTCACCATTGCGACCTTGAAGATGCTCCTCCAGCTGGCATCTTGCCACCTCATCGGGGGCTTTCACTCCCCCAGCAGTAGAAGTAGAGAGCTCTGCTAGAATGCTTTGGAAGTACGCAAGGTCCCCCGGCCGCGGACGGAGCAGTAGATCCCAGGGCCAAAGCCTCACAGCACATGCCACTCCACGTCCCACTCCCCCCCCCCCCCCCCCCCCCCCCCCCCCCAACCCCCCCAACCCCCCCCCATCCACACCATGACGCTGGCAAGGGCCTTGGCCGCGAAAGCTTGTGAGCAAGGTTGGGAGCGCCCTGGAAACGGCCGCGCGCGGCTAAGTTTCGCAGAACAAGACCTGAAAATCACAAGAGAGGTCAAATCCGTGCGCAGTCCTGGCATCTTCGATGTTCGCAGACGCCTGCACATGGCAACTTTGCTTCTGTCAGGACTGCTTGTCCCCAGCACGAGGCAACTGCCTTGGACTCAACCAATTGCCGCAGCTGCCTCGGCAAATGTCAGGCTCTGCGTCTCTGTGAGGCTGCGAAATGCTGCGAAATGCTGCGAAGCTTCCGAGTCTGCGGCGGTGTGATGGAGAAGGCCTTCTCCGGCCTGCCAAAACGCTCTCGGGCAATCGTTTTGGGCGCGCGAAGCGGCGCTGACATATGGGGCCTGCCGCCGTCGGTGCCCAGTCCCTGCCAACATCTGCAGCCCTGCTCTACAACCTTTACATCATACTAAGAACAATGATGCTAACAGACAAGAAACAAGCAATTGTAAGAAGTGATCAAGAATAAGTACATCAAAAAATGTCAACAGGTCCGGTCTGCGAACCTTGCAACTGACCTCCACGGACTTTTTGGGTTTCTGCCTGGCTTGGGGCTCGTCAAGCTGACCGTGGCTAGACGCGAGGGCCAGAAAAGGGACTCCGCTCGGGCGCAGGCACTTGGGCCATGGGACTCATCTGGGACGTCCTGCCGAAGCACACGAAACGCGCAGTGCGCTTTGCAGCGTGCAAGTCCATGCAGGCCTCGCGCTGACCCTCGTGAAGCTAGCCTTTTTGGCAGTGCGAAGCCGCCAAGCACTCACGTGCTCACACACACGCGCTCACGAAAGACACGCTCGCTCGGCCAGTTTTTGAACGGTCCCCGCCTGCCCAGCCCTCCTCGGCTGATTCCTGACAGGTGGGCACGAAGGAATCAGCCAGTGCAACGTCTTCAAAAGGCTTCCAGACTTCGCCACCGACACTGCAAATAAAAACATATTATGCCCCCCTCACACCCCCCCCCCCCCCACCCACCCACCCCACAACATCCAAAAACTCTCCAAAACTCACCCGTCTGCGGCAAGCCTCGGACAGTCGCCATTCCGGACCTCGGACTTTGAAAACTCGCAAAAGCATCGTCAGGACGCTTTGGCGGGGGGAAAACTGCCGCCTCTTCCGCCTTCTTTGGGTCAGGCCTCGGCGCCACTGCAGGGTTTAGGGGTTTAGGAGTTTAGGGGTTTAGGGTTTAGGGTTTAGGGTTTAGGGTTTAGGGTTTAGGGCGCAAGTGGAAAGTCTCTTCCCGACTGAATACGACAGAAATCTGCAGCGCCACCCCTCACGCAGGTCTCGCTGGGGCGCGGGCCTTTTTGCAGGATGAGCACGCAGTTGCACTGGGCCACACCTGAACCCATGATAGGGCTGCGACACGCTTCGCCCATGGTGGTGCCCAACTTTTCAGTGCCCATGACAGCTGATCCCCATACTTTCCGGCAGAAAATTCAGGAGGCCCTTACAGCAAGTCCACATGATGCGCCCACATGATTCTTGGAGAGCCGGCAGCAACATCACCACTGCGGGAAGTTTGCAGCCGCTGGGTACGTAACATCTCGTCGCCAAACTCACCACCCTTCCCTGCCCCGCCTCAAAGTGGCAGCTCCTGGTGTTTTCCGCCTCGGGACGTTTCAAGCGAAGCGTCTGTGGCTCGTCAAACTTGGGTAGGAGGGGAGGAGGGACTGGGACGAAAGCTGGAAGCTTTAACAACAGAGGCTTGCCAATTGCTTCTCCTGGTTGCAACAGTGCAGAAAGCACAAAAGCGCTCAAATGGGGCGGTCACCGACGATAAAAGCAGGAAGAACCCCTCTAAAGCTGTATCATGTGTGTGCTGAGTCTATCTCATCGTGAGGCAAGTGCATGAGTGAATGCATCATTATAGTGACCTTTTCACCGCCGCTCACTCGATGTCGTGTCTTTTTTCGCGTGGATTTCAGGAGACACACGTTACTCAGCAGAAAGGGAAAAGATGTGTACAGCAAGCGCTTCAAGATTTGAAAGTTGGATCATGTACACGGGTTGTCATAACTTAGTAGGAAAAACTACAAAACTACCCAGCTTTGGTACAAAGATACTAATGTAAAGACTAAGATAAACCAGAGTCCTGACAACCCAGGTTTTGTACAAAGAAGCGACACTCGAAGCTACACGCACGAAGCAGCTTGGCGCCTGGCATAGAACAATTAAGCCATGAGAACTGAGTATGTCTAGACTTCTCGACCCTGGCACATCCTGGCACAGGTGCTTCGGGCGCCCGATGCAGTTGAGCCATATTGAGCCTCATTGGGCCCTTAGGCGAGCATCATGAGCATCCCTGGGGGCCTCTTGGGTCCCAATCGGAGCCAACAAGCACGCATCATGAGGCTAGCTTTCGTGACTGAGGACATCTCTGTGTCACGCGCGCGCGCGCGCGCGCGCGCGCGCCACAGCAACGTGGTTTCTGCAAATGGGGCGATCAGGAATCTTCGCTTGGGCGCAGACGCTTGGGCCATCGCAGGACTCATCTGGGACGTCCTGGCGAAGCACACACACGCAATGCGCAGTGTGCTTTGCAGTTTGCAGCACGCAAGTCCCCTGCAGGCCTGGTGTTGGCCTGCACGCGGCTAGCCGTTTTGGCACACTCACGCGCTCACGCACACACGCTCACGCACGCAGGACACACTCGCTCGGCTAGTTGTTGAACGGCCCCCGCCTGCCCAGCCCTCTTCGGCTGATTCCTGACAAGTGAGGACGAAGGAATCAGCCAGTGCAACGTCTTCAAAAGGCTTCCAGACCCACCCACCCCCACGACATCCAAAAACTTTGCAAAACTCACCCGTCTGCGGCAAGCCTTGCACAGGCGCCCATCCGGACCTCGGACTTAGAAATTCGCTAAGCATCGTCAGGAGGTAGTGGCAGGGGAAAACTGCCGCCTCTTCCGTCTTCTTTGGGTCACGCCTCGGTGCCACTGCATATGATGCGTCGCAAGTGGAAAGTCTCCGCTTCCCGAGTGAAATGTGCAGCGCCACCCCTCGCGCAGGTCTAGCTGGGGCGCGGGCACTTTCGCTGGTTGAGCGCGCAGTTGCACTGGGCCACACCTGAACTCATGATAGGGCTGCGACATGCTTCGACCGTGGTGCGCCCCAACTTTTCAGTGCCCATGACAGCTGATCCCCACACAGTGCCAGCAGGAAGCAGAGGGCCCTTACAGCAAGTCACATGCGCCCATGGTTTCTTGAGAGCCCCACCAACATCACTACTGCGAAATTTGCAGCCACTGGGTAGGTGACATCTCGTCTCGAAACTCACCATCCTTCCCTGCCCGCCTTGCAGTGGCAGCTCCTGGTGTTTTCCACCTCGGCACGTTTCAAGCGCAGCGTCCGCAGCTCGTCAAACTGAGGACATCTCTGTGCCATGCGTAAGCACCACAGCAACGGGGGAGTAATCTCTTGGGCGCAGACACTTGGGCCATCGCAGGAATCGTCTGGGACGTCCTGGCGAAGCGCACGCAACGCTCAGTGCGCTCTTGCGGCGTGCAAGTCCCCTGTGGGCCTCGTGTTGGCCCTCATGAAGCTGGCCTTTTTGGCAGTGGGAAGTTGCGAAGCGCTCATGTGCTCACTTGCGGCCGCACAAGCTCGGCAAGTCTTTGAACGACGGCTCCCGCCTGCCCAGCCCTCTTTGGCTGCCTGACAGATGAGCACGAGGGAGTCATCCACTCCGTAGGGACACGTATCAAACGGGCTTCGGCCCCTAAACCCTCAACCCTCAACCCTAAACCCATCATTGCCCCAGTCAGGCGCCTCACCACACATGGGGAAGCGCTTCCCCGCACCTCTCAGGCGACTGAGATCACTGTTAGCGTTGGGGGTTTACGATATTAGTACCTTGTTGGGGTTTCGGGTTTAGGGTTTAGGGTTTAGGGTTTAGGGTTTAGGGGCTCATACGTGGGTTTAATAAGTACAGTTTTGATTGGGTAAGAAGTACCATGAACCTCCAAGTATTTTTCGTAAATTTCCTGCTGTGAGCGGTCTGTGCATGGCCTCGAGGCGTTTCACTTCAGACCTTGGGAACGTGAACAGGCGCGCAGGGCTTCGGGGGGTTTAGGGTTTAGGGCGTTTAGGGTTTGGGGGTTTAGGGTTGAGGGCTTTAAGGCACAGGGTTTGGGGTTTAGGGTGTAGGGTTTGGGGGTTTAGGGTTGAGGGTTTTAAGGCACAGGGTTTGGGGGGGGGGGGCGTTTTGCACCGGAAGATCTGGGGCATCGGCACCTCTGTCGAAGGCGTGCTTGGGCAGGGCCTCCGGCCATGTGCGATCGAAGGTGCTCTTCTGGGGATGCTACCTTGGACCCTCAAGGTTGTACTGTCGGGTTTTGGGCCCCTTTTCTGAAGAATCCCGAAGAATGTAAGGTTAATGTTAGGAGTAGACTAAAGGGGAACCTTTAGGGGCACAACCTTAGGGGTACGAGTCTTCATCCCTTGAGCTCTCGCAACTTGAAGCATCGCAGGCTTCAACAGGTGTCTTCGATTGAAGTATGGGACTGGTTGGGCAAACATCAGCCATACCCAAAACCCTGAGCCCTGAACCCTAAAACCCTAAACCCTAGCTAGGTCTCGACTTGATCTGCGGGGCGGGCATGTGACCTGAGCATTGACCCCCTGGTTCTTAGTAGGGAAGGAGGGAATTAGGGCCATATATATATATATATATATACCCTTTCATCCCTACTAAGAACCAGCCAGTTGATGACACCCTGACGACACCAACACAACAGTTCCTGTGGGTGCGCAGTCATGGTTCAGAAGTTTTAAACGTAGCCAATACCAGCAACGCCGATCATCATCACAGCACATCCTTCGGCAATGACATTCCATACTCAACGCTTTCTTGAGGCTACTTCGGTTAAGAATGCGAGAAAAACACTACGCAGCAGCAAAATCAGACGGTGCTCGTTGTTACAGGAGAGGCATTGCGCCGTGCTGTGGGCCCCCCAGTCCCGCTTGCATCTCACGAGCCTCGCAGATACCGGCTCTTCTTCCTGCGGCCACAAGACCGCACCCTCAGCCCTCTGCGCAATCTGCCACGAGCGGGCGTGCCTGCGCAGCTTTTTGTGAAGCGATCCTGAAGGCAGTGAGACAGTCAGACGACTGCACGGTTCTGACGTGGCAAAAGCTTGCACCCTCCAAGCCTTGGCGTGAAAGGTGCAAAACAGCTGAGCCCCGAGCTCTGCTGCAGCCGCCAGCCGTTCCAGGGCTGCCGATCTTGACAAGCCCTGCGGGACTTGCGAGCACGTGGACTCGGGAAAACACCCTTGTGCCGTTGCGCCACACTGCACAGTGGCACAGGACGAGTAAACATCCTGAGGGCGTGGCCTCAACTTTGTGAAGATGTTGTACCTGTCGACTAGCTGCAAAGCCAACTTGCGGGTTGAATGAACAGGTCTTGGTGCCTCCACCAGCAAGTAGACAATGGCGCCACCTTCCCCGACCACGGCCTCTCAAAGCACGACGTGTGTTGTGGGATGCCCCTAAACCCTAAACCCTAAACCCTAAACCCTGAACAAGATTCTAGATGCACCTGGCCTTCAGGTCCCCGAGGTGAGCCATGACCCCGGCCAAGAGGCAAGAGCGCTGAGAGCAAACAATCTGCGGGAAGATTACATGGCTATCTCCCAAAGTAGGGTTTAGGGTTTAAGTTCTAGGGTTCAGGGTTTAGGGTTTAGGGGTAGCCCTTTTAGACCCCAAATAGAATAGAATGCCCTTAAAGGGACCCCCAAAAGGGTATCCCCAATTTCGGGAACCCCCACATGACTAGCATGCGATTAAGGCTTAGGGATAACCAGGCGACAAACACGAGAACCGGCTGGAAGCGGGTTGCCGGGTCAACGCTCGAGCACGACCGGCGTTGTTTTGCTCCCAAGGCTTGTGCCTTCTACCGTGGACCGTGCCTCCTGTAGAGTATCAGGGCAAGTGGCATGCTTCTTGCGGAGGGAACCTAAGGCACGGAATCCATGGATTACATGAAGCAACTGGGATGGGGAGCCTGATCATGTTCCAGCGCCGTGACCCCCTATTCTAATCCCTATTCAGGACTTATAGCAATTATAGCAATTATTAGATTTCTAGTAATTATAGTATTAGAGTAACTATAGTATAAGGGGGAAACATCCCAAAACCCCACCGTAAAGGCCTGGGCCCTCCACCCGGAAAGTTCTGCAAGCACCTACGCTGAAGCGAAGGCTAGGAAACCTCAGCCCATTTTTGGGGTCCATACGGAAGGCTGCACCAGCGCATTTGAGGCCATCATGTCTGACGGGATGGAGCATCATGTGCATGCGATGCGCGCGTGCGGGCACGTCGTCCCTCTTCCCGAATGTGACAAATTGTGCTTGACAGCATCCCGCGCAACAATCCGCGTTGCCAAGAATCATCAAAGACTGCCCGTTGCTCCGACGCGCAGGCTCTCAAAAGCGCACGAGAGAGAACCTGCCAAACCCTTAACCCTAAACCCTAAACTTAAACCCTAACCCCGAAACCCCAAACCCTAAACCCTAAAAACGCTCCACAGACCGGTCCTCCGGCATGCAGTGAGGGCTGGCGCCAAGCCCTGCTCCTGCCTCTCTTCGAACCCTAAACCCAACCCTAAACCCTAAACCCCAAACCCGAAACCCTAAACCCTAAACCCTAGATCGGGCCACCGTGGACGTCCTTCCCCTTCATCTAGCTCCGCCTGCGCGCTCGCACGCGAACATTCACCCCTCCTCTGTTTGAGCCAAGGACTCGGAAGAATCCCTCCCGAGTCCGTCGATCTCCCTGCTAAACCCTAAACCCTAAACCCTAAACCCTAAACGCGAAACCCCAAGCCCTAAACCTTAAACCCTAGCCCTGAAACCCCGTGCGCTCTCGTAACCCCCGACACCTTTGGGGAACAAATGAAAACGGCGCAAAACAACATAGCCCGGAAGGTTAAAAGGCACAGAGGTCATCATATTGAGGGGCATAAGGAGGGACCCCTAGAAGGGACCCTTAATCTCATTCCCATACATAACCCCTATATATACCTTATATAGACCTCCCTATGTACCTCAAAAACCCCTAAATAACCCACAAGGTCCCTTATAAGGGTCTCTCCTTTTCGTTCTTTGATTGTAGATCGGAGGGAGACAATGTAACTTCTTTGCAAACACGCGCATCGTCGCACGAACTCCGCTGTCCCTTGCAGCGACTGCCGCAGGCTTGAGAGAGCCTGCACATAAACTACGCCCTAAACCCTAAATCCTAAATCCTAAACCCTAAACCGCTTTAGGCAACGGCAAGAGAAACTGTGGCCTCCTGAGCAACGTAACCCAGTGATCAGAATTAAAAAATGTTTGGGGTTTTGGGTTTAGGGACTCCGCTGGACATGTGTAGAGCCAAGCATCCGGTCTAGCTGCTTTTGCTCAGAGCCTGTTCTCGGATCTCAGATAACACGGCATATTCGTTCGGAAAGGTCGAGATGGCGAATTGGACCACGTTTGGATGAGGATCTCTACCTGGACTGACGAGGAAGTCCAAGAAAACGGCTCTGATCATGATCTCGTGGTCAACGTCTTCCTCCGTCTTGAAGTTGAAGAAAGTTGTGCGAACTGACCAGAGGCACTTGAAGACGCCCTTCTCAGACCTCTCAAATCCGTACTTCTCCATGATGGGAAGCTGAAGCGGCAAGCACAGCTCGCGTTTGCATTTCTGTTCTTTGGCTGCGTCTCCCTTTGCTGCGGCCCAGGCAGCTGCCAGTTTCTTCTGAAAAGGCATGTTCAGGAAAGCCTGTATAAGATCATCATGCAAGGCCATGCACTGATCCCGAGTCAAAGTCTTCTCGACGGATTTCTGACATAGTTTTGCAGTCTTTGTTCGTTCTTCTTGCATTCGATCCTGGAGATTTTTGAAATTGCTGGAAGCATGCCCCAAAGTGTTGGAGTATTCCTTCTCAATCGCATCAGCAATGTGCCTCCACCATCGTCCTTGCGCCCGTACGTTCTCAATACCTTCCGACTGCAAAGCTTTCCCTGGCATCGAAATCCAGACGGAGTTCGTAGGTGCTGACACATCTAGTGCTGCTCCACCACCAGTGGACGCTCCAGCATACATGGACCGCAGAACCTAGGCTGTTCAGTGGACCCCTGGGAAAGAAGTATATCCCTTTTTGGGGGTTAGTCGTCATATACTAGGAACCCAGAGAATCCCTAAACCCTAACCCCCAAACCCCAGACCCTAAAAGTAAAACGTATACTACTGAACAGGCTCGGGACCACGTCCTGACAGAAGCATATACTTCTTTGGGGTTCGTTGTAATTGTACTAGCAACCCAGGAAGCCAAAGAAGTGATAAAGCATACTACTGAACAGGCTCGGAACCAAGTCCTGACAGAAAGCTCCCATGGGTCGGTCCACCTGCTTCGTGTCAATAGCTGCAGGCTCTTCCGCCGATCGTCCACCGCATGGGTGCAGCATGATGATGAAGCGATTTTGCATCGGCAGCTGGAAACAACCTGAAGGTGCAGGAGGTTTAGGGTTTAGGGTTTAGGGTTTAGGGTTTAGGGTTTAGGGTTTAGGGTTTAGGGTTTAGGGTTTAGGGTTTAGGGTTTAGGGTTTAGGGTTTAGGGTTTAGGGTTTAGCTGTGATAGGGCGTAGATGCTGTGAAGGTTAGGCTTTCGAACAAGCTCGAAAGCTCGTGAGGCGCGAAGAGCAGCTTTGGCCCGATTGTGGAAGGCCATCTAACACTTCTCTCCCACCCCGCGCCGTCCGAGGTGGCAAAGCCACCCAAACCTATTCCTTTTAGGGTTTAGGCCTAATCTCTAGCCAACTGCTTACTTTCCATAAAACTTCTTCATTCCGTCACGGTGGTCGCCAGCCTGGTTCCAAATGTAGGTTCACCAAAAAAAGGCAACCCTAGGCAGGAGTGCCGAGAGGCCCAGGTAAAGAAGGAGCAGGGGTTGGGCTCAAAAGACATACAGCTTTTTGGAGCACCTGTCGGCCTGAGGCCCCCTGGTCCCTGAGCACCTTGCGGCGAGGGGTCCGGGTCCTCCTGGCCTGGGGGCCTTGGGGTACCCCGAAAATGCCAGCGCCACTCAGGAACCAGTACTGGTCCCGAGGAGAACCGGGCCCATAGGGGGGCGGCCTAGGCCCTGAGCTTAGGGCTTGGGGCTTAGGGCTTAGGGCTTGGGGCTTAGGGCTTAAGGATGAAAATGCATGGAGTGAAAGCAGCCTGCGACAATGCATGGAGCACGTTGAGTCTTTTGCACGAAAAGCACTGGAAAATCCCAACAGAATGGCTGACGGATGCAACGGCCCTTCTCACGATCCCTAAAGCCTAACCCTAAACCCTAAACCCTAACCCCTAAACCCGAAACCCTAAACATCCCTAAACCCTAAACCCAAACCCAGGCACCATGGGCCCGGCGAGAGCAGCTCATCTGCAGGGAGTCACAGGTAATCGAGCGCCAATCTGCCGAGTGATGCCCAGTGGCCAGCCCAGTTCCTCTGATAGGGTTCTGAAGGGAGGGGGGTTCAAGGGGGTTTAGGGTTTAGGGTTTTGGGTTTAGGCTTTAGGGTTTAGGGTTTAGGGTTTAGAGGTAGGTACCTCGGGAACCCTAGGGAAGCTTAGGGAGCCTTGGGGAGTAGTGGGGAGAATTGGGGAACCTTGGGTTACATAGCCCCCCTTGAACCCCGCTCCCTTAAGAACCCACGTAATCCTCCATCGATGGCTTCAAAGCTGTTGATCTTTGCAAACAGATCCAAGTCATCGATGATCACAAGCGAGGCATGTGGAAGCAACTCACTGACCAAACCTCGGTGAGCACTAGAGACACAACTGCTTTGCGAGAAAAGAGAGGCTACACATGATGCAGCCAGCTGAAACGCCGACATTTGATGGAAGGACATCAAACATCGTCTCTACGTCGGTAAGGATGGAAAAGCAAAATGAAGGACAAAAAAAATGCGACTGCAAGAAAAAAGACATGCGGTCGCGTGTCCCTTTTTTCGGGGGGGTCCCTTCAAGGGGGATTCTATTCAAGGTGGAACATCCCAAGGAGACCCCCCTATTTTGGGAAATACCCTAAACCCTAAACCCTGAACCCTAAACCCTAAACCCGAAACCTTAAACCTTAAACCCCAAACCCTAAACCCTAAACCCTAAGCAAAGAAGGTACCCCTGCTTTCGGACACCCTGACATCAGGTTCAAAAGAAGGGGCTCAGCTCCTTCGTCAAGGGTATCTCATCCCCCAAGCCTTTGGTGACGGAGCCTGACCAAAGAGCATGAAAGCCTAGACCCCAGACCCTAACCCTAAACCCTAAACCCCAATCCCTAAACCCTAGCCCTAAACCCTAAACCCTTGAACCCCCAACCCCGCCTGACCAATGAGCATCCAAGTACAGCACTGCTGGGCCTGATACCTTTGGAAGGATCGTCTCCAGGACGCGGGCGGAATGTCCCAAGTGGTAGTGAATGGGCCGTGCTGCCTTCCAGGCGAACAGCTTGGCGGCCTCGAAACATTGCCTTCAAGGGACTAAAGGAGGGACCCTTACAGGGGACCTTAGGGGTTCTTTAGGGGGTTGTATAGGGGCTACTTAGGTACTATGGGGACTATACGTAAGGTATATCGGGACTACATGAAGGTACATATAGGCTTGATTGCCTGCTGAGCTCGATGGTGTGTAGCTCAGTGAAGTGCGGGGACAGTGCCACCACCGTCTGGCCCAGAAACGTGCCCGTCTCGATGAAGATGCCGTGGCGGAAGCCCGCGCAGGGAAAGCCCCGCTGCCTCACAGCCAGGTCAAGTCACTAAGTGCTGAACATGTTTAGGGTTTAGGGTTTAGGGTTTAGGGTTTAGGGTTTAGGGTTTAGGGTTGAACAGAGCAGGCGCACCCAAAAAAAAAGCCGTTGTTGGGTTGGAGGGTTGAGTTCTCGAACTTTGATGGATCTGCCGGGTAGTCAGCATCACCCGAAAAGCATCGACAACCAGCCAGCGGGGCATGCACCAATCACCTACAACATTCTAGAACTCCATGCCGTCCGAAAATTGGCCCAAGCATGCCCCAAGACGAAAACACGACAAAGTATCCAACCATCAGGTTGAAACCAAGCATGCAGCACTTCGTACAAATACTGCATAGTGCAACAACAACTCCACAACAAACCGACCACCCTAAACCCTAAACCCTAAACCATAAACCCTAAACCCTAAACGCCCCCCAAAAAAAAAGCACTACGGAACCAGTCCCTGCTGCTCACATTCCCCAAAGATCTCCTGCAGATTGCTCCACGTCAAGGCCCAGGATGGATCCGCCATGTGAGTTTAGGGTTTAGGGTTTAGGGTTTAGGGTTTAGGGTTTAGGGTTTAGGGTTTAGGGCTTAGGGTTTAGGGTTTAGGGTTTAGCGTTTCGGGTTTAGGGTTTAGGGTTTAGGAGTTAGGGGGTAGGAGTTAGGGGTTTTGGGGTTTTTGGGGCTTAAAGTCCAGGATGGGACTTGGTCAAGTGGGATCCACCAGCCAACTTTCGCCCAGTGGTTGCTACGTTTGGGACCTTTAGGGTTTAGGGCTTAGAACTGAGGGTTTAGGGCTTAGGGTTTAGGGTTGAGGGTTGAGGGTTTTAGGGTTTTAGGGTTTAGGGTTGAGGGTTGAGGGTTGAGGGTTGAGGGTTTAGGGTTGAGAGTTGAGGGTTGAGGGTTGAGGGTTTAGGGTTTGGGTTTAGGGTTTAGGGTTTAGGGTTTAGGGTTTAGGGTTTAAGGTTTAGGGTTGGTTTAGGTTTGAGGGTTTAGGGCTTAGGCTCATGGTTGCTCTTTGCTAGCGATGCATCGGTATGGGTTCCTTTGTTGAGGCCAACTTGAGACGCAAGTCGGTTTGGGGTTTCGGGGGTTTAGGGTTTAGGGTTTAGGGTTTAGGGTTTAGGGTTTAGGGTTTAGGGTTTGGGGTTTGGGGGATAGGGTTCACTACCCAGTAACCGTATGATATTAAGGGTGCCCTTTTGGGGGCCGGTTCCGTTTACACGAGAACCTACAACCCAAAAAGGGAAAAAGTGTGCCTCTGGGCTACCCAGAGTCTCAGATTGTTTGCACTTTCTGATTCCCCAAAAACATCCTGAAGCCTTCCTAACACCCCTCTGACCCTACGCCTAAGCCCTAAACCCTAAACCCTAAACCCTAAACCCTGAATCCAAAACGACTGGGTGACTTGCAGCTCGCGGCCCCCTGCACATTACCTTCCCTTATGCAAGCAGTCCGTAATAGGGGTTGTAATAGGAGTTTAGGGTTTAGGGTTCAGGGTTTAGGGTTGAGGTTTGAGGGTCGAGGGTTTAGGGTTTAGGGTTTAGGGTTTAGGGTTTAGGGTTTAGGGTTTAGGGTTTAGGGTTTAGGGTTTAGGTTTAGGGTTTAGGGGAGGGTATTGTACTCCCTACTAAGGACTGTTAGTATAGGGGGGGGACATCCCAAGCTGAAAGCCAGTTGTAGCAGTGTTTTCTAGATGGCTGCTTTGAAGACTTGGCAGGCACAGTCCTCATACCCTGGTACCAGCATGAACTAATTTGTGTATATATATGGGGTTTACGAAAATAGGCGACCCCTAAGATTGACCCCCAAATAGTAAGGACCCCAATAAGGCATTCCCCAATTTCGGAAACCCTATGTTTTTTGTAATATATATGTGTATATACACATACATATATATATATACATATATATATATATACGTTCTAGCGTTTTGTGAATTTCGTCCCAGTTTAGCTGTGCTACTAATACCTATCTTTTGCACTGTTAACATTAATCATCAGGAGGAAAGTGCACGGACTTCTCTTCTCAACGCTGTCTGCGCAAAGCGGTGGGGGTGGAAGGGGGGGGGGCATCACGCTGTCTGCACGCGGCCTGACCAAGCACATGAACTCATCGCCTAAACCCTATTAATTAATTGGAAGCCCTCTAAGAACAATTCGGAGCACCACAGTCACCACAACTCCCAAACACACGTAACCATGTTGCTGAAGTGCTTGCAAACGGGCCTCTCTCTGCATGGCTATAGCACTCGCGGCAGGAATCATGAGAGACGCCGTAGGCGATCAAGTTCCCTTGGAACACTTCCACCGCGGCATCGTAGACCACCCTATCGACGTCATCATGCCAGCCCATGAGCTCATCTATATCATAGTCCGCATGCGCAGACTTTGTTTCCGAGCTCGGCCTCGTATCTTCGAAATCCGATGCCTGGCAAGCTCCCCCAAACATCTTGTGGAGCAGGCATATTGACAAGTCCCAGTCCTCCGTGATGCCCACAAAAGAGAAGCCTTCCCGGACCCTCCGAGCCGCTTCCTCCGCATCCGCACGCGTCATCTTGGGCCGGTCAGGGTCGAGCGTCTGCGTTGTCGGGTGCAGGTTGTTGTGCTCGACCACCAGCTGATACGTCATGCCTCCCTTCCAACTTTCGGCAAACTCCAAGACAGGTACCTTCGACAACCCGGGCACGGGCTGATGGCACACCGACATGTTAAGCGATCCACTGACGTGCATGGCAAGGAGGTCCTGCAGATGGTCTTCATAGTTCACCGTCGCAAAGTTGTCGGCGTCGTCGTGGTAGGCGGACAGAATGCGCTGCTCGGGATTTCGGAACATCCCCACCAATGCACCTGTCCACATGTATGCGATCTCAAGTCGGGTATGCATAAATGTAATGCAGAGCATGGGCTAACTACTCCAGATACTTCTTACAAGGCTGCCCCTTTTGTCGCTCAGAGCGAAGCACCGATCCGACAGTCAACAAACATCGTCATTGAATCGTCATTCCATGGGAAGCCTGGAAGGGAAATCTCGGCTACTTCAAGGCTGGGAACAAAAACAGAGCATGGCGCTCCGATGCACCCCGAATCCTCCGAATGACCAAGAGAATCGCAGCTCCTGGCACTGAGCCAGAACAGCTGCATGGTCGCGAGGCACGCAAGTAGAGCCTCCAACACTTAGCTTGAATGTCGATACTGACGCTTGCTTTCCCCTACACTTGCACTTTGAACCCTCAACCCTGAAGTCAGACGATCGCCTTTGCGAGCCGTGTAGTTGTCAATCGGCTGGTGTGGAAAGGCATCGCTGAAATGTGGGCAGAAGAACTTCTTCGCGAGGCAGGCTTCCGGACATTCGAATTTCCATTTCTGCGCACACATCAGACCCTTCCACCAACCCAGAAAGCTACACGCACCCTACGACGCACCGCTGAGTATGCTCTGAAAGCCGCCTTCTTACTACTGTGTACCTTTGAGGGTCTGACACGGGGAAGTTTGTGACAGGGCCCTCCCTCCTCCATGTAACAGTCGCCCAGCGACTGCTCATCGACGACAAGGCTGCTGGCAAGTGGGCACACTCCGGGGAGGTGTATCAGCGCATTGATGAAGGAACTGCCGCATTTCCTGGCTGGTGCACGCATTTGGGGGCTTGGCGTTGCCTACGTCCCCTCACGAATAGCATTACCCGAAACCCTAGGCAGCCCTAAACCTCTCTTCCCCCCTAGCGGCGCGCAGTGGAGCCAGTAAATCGGCTCGGCCGCTTCAAGGAGCGTCGGCTCCCCGAAGGCCAATTTCCTTGGGGACCAAATGAACCCTAACATTCGGACCCTATACTGCTATAATTCCTATTGAGGCGATATGAACCCTCAACCCTATACTACATGGTACTGTAATTTCCTATTCAGACAATATGAACCACACAGCCTTTTTGGGCTTACTTCGTCCCCAAGGTTCTGCTGCAGCAGCTGCAATGCGCCGCTCTCCTCGAGAGGAGGGTTACATTTTGGTGGGGGATTCTTTCAAGGTAGTGAAACATGAAGAATAACCCTGCACTTGGAGTTCGGATGGGTTGTGGAGATTTGAGGGAGGGGGGATTCAATATTGTGTGTGTGTGTGCGCGTGTGCACGTGCGCGCGTGTGCGCGTGTGCGCGTGTGCGCGTGTGCGCCTGTGCGCCTGTGCGCCTGTGCGCCTGTGCGCCTGTGCGCCTGTGCGCCTGTGCGCGTGTGCACGTGCGCGTCTCCGCGTCTCCGCGTGTGCGCGTGTGCGCGTGGCGCGTTTCGCTTGGGCGCGTGCGCGCGTGGGCGCGTGGGCGCGTCGCGCGTGCGGGCGTGCTTGCGGGCGTGCTGACGTGCGGGGCGTGCGGAGGCGTGCGG